CAAAATCACCATTGTTGCCTGTGGTGCCTGGCCATAAGATAGCTGAAGAGTTGATTCAGGCATGTTGGAGCAGTAAAAACACTAGACTACAGAACAGGGGTCTCGCACAATGTGATCTGGGAACCACTGAAAAACAGCTTACTGTCCTCAGGAGTTTTTACTGTAGAGTGAATCATGTATGGTTTGGAAAGGAAAGGACTGGATACAGAAATACACTTGGATCATTTTTATTTCACAAGATTAAAGGTCATGCTTTAAACTGCAGTATTATGCCATATTGTGTATGACATCGACCATTCTATTATTAAAATAAGAGCAAGAAAAGTATATATAATAGCATGATTTGAGAATAATAACTGCGTGTAAAGGAATGAGGGCACACACTCAATGACGTGGGTTGGCACAAGTTCTAGGTACAAGTCCATGGGCCGTGTGAAAAATATTTAGAAAGGTTTTACCGTGTGTGTTTTGGATGTTCAGAAAGGCAGTCTTTATGTCGCAACTCCTCCATCAACTGCCTGCATTAATCCATCCACTCACCTTTAAAGGAAAAAGTGAACAGAAACTCTTTTTTTGTTGTTGTTCATTGTGCAGACCGTACTGTCTTGTATGCCAAAACATTTGGATTAAGGTCCAAAAATCAGAGTCCACTATCAAGAACTATTACATTTACTCAGTTATCAAAACCTAATTCAAATTTTAAAGCATTCACATGCCTCAGTACTACTACTTCCTTTAGTATGTACTGAACAATTGTAGCTTTTATTAGTGAACAATGACATTATCTTCTTTGAGGAAATATGATTAAACAAAACTGCATTTTTTTCACTTCTTCATAACTGATGTCATAACTGAAATTCAGTGGATTTTGAATTTTGACCCTGCTTGTACGCACAATGATGGTTTGACCATTAACTATTTGCAGAACAGTTTTTTCCGTGTGTGATTATGTGCACTCAGTATTGAATTAGGTTTATCATTTGAAAAGAAAGATTGAGGAGATGCAAATGGAAAATGTGATGTGCTTTTTTCCACGTCTTAACTGTGGCCCTGATGTACTGCTCTGCTGCTGTCTATCAATAACAATCACAATGTCACTATCCTATCAAAAGCAATCCCTTCAAGCGGTTCATCATTATGGACACAACTGCAGAAACACAAAGGACTCCAGTCTTGGAATAGTTATTAATCTGCTACTAATTGCTGTCACTTTATATCTCCCTTCTCTCTTTAATGATTTTGTAACTTTCTCTGCAATCTTTTGCTTGGAAATAGATGTGCCAAACCGATCTAAGCAGACTGCTGTGGACAGATATGACTGATTTTTTTTCAGTATGTATTTTTTCCCCTGTGCAAGTGTTGAATGCCTTTCTGTTGGAGTTTTTTTTTTTTTTTTTTTTTTTTTTTTTTTTTTTTTTTTTTTTTTTTTTTTTTTTTTTTTTTTTTTTTTTTTTTTTTTTTTTTTTTTTTTTTTTTTTTTTTTTTTTTTTTTTTTTTTTTTTTTTTTTTTTTTTTTTTTTTTTTTTTTTTTTTTTGGTCTACTTGTAAATGTTCATTTTAATCTGATATTTTCTGGGATGCTGCGATGTCTCTTCATAAAATGAAAAATGTTATGTGAATGTTTCTGAAAGATTGTCATGGGGGGAGTGCAAAATGGCTGACATCGTCACCACCACTTATACATTGTTGGTGTTTTAAAAGATGAAAAATAAATTAATTGAATCGGATTTTGAGGTTTATTTTGCTGTTTGCTGTTTATTTTGCTGTTAAGAGGTATATTTAATTTGATAAACTGATAACTAACCAATATCAAACTAAATTTTCTAATTAACCATCAAACAGTGACAGATATCATGACTGATTAAAAGTATGCATGAGAAAAAAGAAGGTTGTAATTATTCAAACTAATACATAATGTACTGTATACTACACTATTTTGTTTGTTTGAATAATTCAACCATCAAATTATTGCAACAATCAGAAGGCTCTACGAGCCCACACTCATCTGCTTGTGTGAGCTGAAGAGCTGAAGCTTTGGCAAATGCCATTGGACTGTCACTGATCGACACAAACAGCCCCTGATGAGAGCAGAGGCTCTGTCTGTACAGTCTCTCTCTCTCTCTCTCTCTCTCTCTCACACACACACACACAAAATGAAATATAATCCAAACCTTCCATACACTGAAACAGTTCCAGTTTAATGTTCTATGTAAGGAATAAAGCATGACAGGGTTATATGAAATTAATCAGGGGTCTAGTGTAAGCAAAGCAGAGGATGTTCACTGTGAAGTTGATTATTTTCCTACAGAGGCATGTCCTAATATGTTCTATTGCTCTAATACCACAGCAGTTTTATAACGAGTATTATTAAATTATTAAAGAACAACACAACACATTTTTATCCATTTATAGCTATGTTTAATGTTGGGGCAAAAGTTATTTCCTTGTATCACTACCGTATTAATAATTGTTCCCTCGCCCTCTTGTTGTTTTTCTCTCATGAAGTTAATAATACAAAAAAGCCATCAATGCTTAGACGTTGTCATATCAGAAAACAAAGTTATAGGTTTACTTCTGACTGGTATAAAACACTGATACTGGTGACCCCTTCCAAAAATGCTAAATAAATGTCTCCTCACAAAAAGCTGTACCATATCAACAACAACTCTATATCTTTTAAATTTGGAGCGCCTGCCATACCAGTCCATGTGTAACCAGCTAATATAGAAACGTTAACATATTAGAGCAAGTGCATTGATATAAACCTGTGATTTATCTTGTAGATGGCACTACTGTCAGAGCTGCTGTTATAGAAAATTAATCAACACCTTTTCTGACCAATCAGATTCAAGAATTCACTGTCACTGTGATATAAACTTAAATAGAGATGTTTTTAACTAACACAGAAGGACTGGAGAAACCATCTATATTATTCAAACTGCTTCTCAATACTGAACAGGCTGTGTCAGATTGCCTTTTATAGCAAATTCAGATGTCTGTGCCTAATATTTGGCACTGCTCAAAATGAAGCAATGCACTAATACACCAGAATTGAGTTTAACTTCTTGTAAAAGCAAGCCAATGGCAGACACAGTCTTCCGGAAACATGTCTTGGCTCGTTGTGTGCATCCACTCACCCCAGTGAGAAAGGGGGGGTTTGTGTGTGTGTTTATGTGCTATTTTTAGCTGCAGCAGAAAAAGATGGCTGGGGGCTGCGTGCAGCACGATATGTCAGATGAGATTGGGCTTTGTGTGTGTGTCAAGGATGCCCAGACAGGAAGGTATAATAATTGAGAAGCTCTCCGCAATGTGTCCTCAAGGTGTCCAGTCCTGGACCTAGTTTTTTCTTTCTCTTAATCTGTTTGCTTTTGAAATTCCCTTTTCCTGTCTTTTCCAGGGTTGATCAGTGCTCTATAGACAAGGCTCTGTGAGGCAATGTAAAACAAAACAGAATTTATCAGAATTTGTTAAGAAGAGCCAAGTGTTTACGAAAACAAGAACTTAAAACTAGTAGGAACGTCAAGCTATTTATGAGCGGGTTTAGGAACTTAATATCAATTTGCCTTTTAATTATTAAAAGCTATCATTTAAATGGAGGATTGTATAGTTCAGCAGAAAAATCTATTGTCATTCAAGTCAACAGTGACACCTGTATGTGAATACACAAGCAACTGCAGTTGATGGGAAATATTTATGGACGAGTCTGACTTAGTTCCAAACTATTTTTACTTGACATGATACAGCAGAAGCACTATTAAGAAATGGGGTCTAAGAGATTATAAAAGGTGACTTCTGGTCTGCTGCTGTTTTCCATTTTACTCCATTTAGCCTTGCATGTTATTTTAATTTCACTCCATTTAGCCCACACTAGTGTCTGTGCTTGTGGTAATGGAGTTAGAAAGTCATGATGTATATTCGGCCAGTCACAAAATGTGGTAGATGACAGGTTTACATACATACTTTACTACCTGCACCTGGCATGAAAGGCACAAAACAAAATAACCTTTTAACATGGATGGCATAGGGAGAAAAAAGCACATGAGCGAAGCAGGACAGAATGAACACAGTGAAAGGGGGTGTGAGAGAGAGAAATAGAGAGATGAACAGATGGCCAGTCTTGCACTCATATGTGGAGAGCTACTTCCTGAAGCGCTGGGTAACAGCTCCAGCAAAATGTAGGGATGGAGATGAAGCATTGAAAGCAGAGCTGGAGAGCCAAAGAAAACGGAGGGTGGGGGTAGTGGCCAACCAATGCAGACTGGGAAGCACCCGGGCAGGTGCCAACTTGCCAGCAGGCATTAAACAGGAATCTTTGGTACTGCCAGCAGAGAAACAAGCTGCGGAAAGCCTCACTTTCGCTATGAATGCCACCCCACAGGCACCTGGCACTGAAACCCTGCTCAGGTAAAGTACTGAGAAAGAAAGGATGGACTGAAGCCAGCAGCTCACCTGCAGGTTAAATATCAAAGCTTTTTATTTGGAACAGGAACTGGGGTGGAAGTGATAAACAGCAGTGCAGTGATCATGTGTTGGAGAATGTAACAGGCCAGTGAGATGATGGAATCAGAGAGAAATGATGGTTGGAGAGAATGAAATTACTAAGGATACAGAAACAGAGGGGAGCAGAGAACCATGTTAGCAGTAGTCATAGAGAAATGAAAAAGCACACTCATAAACTCAAAACTACAAAGACTTGTTAACTGTGGCAATCATTAATTCCCTGTGAGCTGTGTATATCTTGAGGGCATGCAACAACAAAAAAAATCATCACTTTACATATCTTTAGTTTATATGCCTTTGTATGTCCCACATTTGAGATACTGTACCATGCATCTGAGTATTTTCAGAAGGTTGTTGTTGTTCCTCTTTCAGCTGCTCCCGTTAGGAGTTGCCACAGCAGATCGTTGGTCCGCATATTTGATTTTGCACAGTTTTTACACCGGATGCCTTTCCTGACGCAACCCTTCCCAATTTTAATCAGGCTTGGGACCGGCACTAACTTCCCTGGCCAGGAATCTAACCTGGGCCTCAGCGGTGAGAGCACTGTGGCCTAACCACTAATCCTCCAGGGCCCTCCAAAAACAGTATACACTGCGTTGCCACTTTATTAGGAACACCTACACTCACTGGCCATTATATCTGTAGACCCTCACAGGACCACCTTTAAGAAGATATTATTGGGTGATCGACCATTCTCAGCACAGCAAAAACAGTTTAAAAAAAATTCAAGCAGCACTGCTGTACTGGATACACTCATACCAAACCTCAGACAATGATATAAAACATACATAACACTGTATTCATACAGAACTTACGACCTTTAAAATAGTAGAGAATAAAAACACGATAAAGCCCAAAGGTTTATTTCCATTGTGGTCCTCTATTGTACTAAGAATGGTCCACCACCCGAATATATCTAGTCAATGATGGTTTTGCCGTGAAGTCATGCTGATGCGCATGCTTCACTGTTGTACCGTATTCCGTGACTGTTGCCGCTGAAGTTCTTTGAGTAAACTAGCATTCACCCGAAGCTCTGTTTGTGTTTTGTTGAATGTAACATTTGGCAACAAGGATGGCTTTATCTCTACCTCCCCCTGAGCCATTTCTGCCCCACACTGGTGAACCTGTCGTGCCGTGGTGGTTGATGGGTGAGGTAGAGGATGGCTAGTGTGCATAACAGATGGGCTCCTGTCAGTAACTGTATGTGTATATCTACAGTATTTGATCATTGTGATAAAATGCTAACAGCTACAAGGTAAATGCACATAATGAACTGGCAACCGACTCTACTGTCATTGCTAGAGAACCTTTACTAGACTGTTGACATTTTCAAAAAATCTGGTTCTTTTGTGTGATGCATAACTAGCTGCTTTTCAGTAAGGTGATCAAGGTGGTGATATACAATTTCACATGATCCAAAGCTTGTACTTCATTTTTACACTCTGCTTCCCTCAAAATATCTCATTTGCACAACTTCATGTACAAATCTTTTTGTATACAAAAGTTCATGTACAAAAGTTTTTGTAAAGTTTTTTGTAAAGTTTTGTACAGTAAATTTTGTATAGTCAACCAAATTGTTTTTCTTATACTTCTATGTTCGTATTTATGTCTAACTTGTATGTAGCACCGTGGTCCTGGGAGACACGACATTTCATTCGACTATATGTCCACACATGTAGCAGAATGACAATAAAGCTCAACTTGAACTTGAACTTGAACTTATCAACACACATTCTGAGGATTATAACCATAAACATGTTGCATGTATAGTGAATGGAGTGCTGGCCTCTGAGGAGCAGAGAAGTTGCAGTGCTTTGGCTCTACATTTACAGCATAGTTTTGAAAGCATACTGACCCTCACATGTGCACTCTGCTGCTTTAGTGAATGAGGGCCTGCACTGTACACTCTAACTTAGCTTGTTCATATTAGCAGACATAAAAGCCAGCTACACTATATTACCAAAAGTATTCGGTCACCTGCCTTGACTCACATATGAACTTAAGTGCCATCCCATTCCTAACCCATAGGGTTCAATATGATGTCGGTCCACCTTCTGCAGCGATTACAGCTTCAACTCTTCTGGGAAGGCTGTCCACAAGGTTGAGGAGTGTGTTTATAGGAATTTTTGACCATTCTTCCAAAAGCGCATTGGTGAGGTCACACACTGATGTTGGTCGAGAAGGCCTGGCTCTCAGTCTCCGCTCTAATTCATCCCAAAGGTGTTCTATCGGGTTCAGGTCAGGACTCTGTGCAGGCCAGT